GTGCCTTGGGTTTATTCCCGATAAGGTACCAAAGGCTTGAAAATCCGACTCGAAAGTCGAACGCCTAGGCTCAAGAGAGTCGACTAGGTCTTTCCTTCCCTTAAGGTTGAGAGACGACTGTAGGAGTCGGTCAAAGGGTTGTACCTTGGGTTTATTCCTGATAAGATACCAAGGGCTTGAAAATTCGACTCGGAAGTCGAACACTTAGGCTCGAGAGAGTCGACTAGGTCTTTCCTTCCCTAAGACCAATAGATGTCTGTGAGAGTCGGCCAAGGGTTGTGCCTTGGGTTTATTCCTGATAAGGTACCAAGGTCTTTGTTGGGGGTGCCTAGGTCTTCAACCATAATGAAGCCTTGATCCCTGTGAGATAAGAGTTAATTCATATTTATAATATTTCACCAGTTCTGAAATTTACATGATCATGAAAAATATCCATTGTAGGCATCTGGTGCTCAAAGAGGGTTGAACCACTTGTGATTTTGCTTTATCTCTATTTCAAAGGCATTTTGTGTAATGGATAAGGCTGCTGGTATAGAACTTCTTTAGTTGGATTTTGCTTGCTCTTTATTTTTATAACGGACTACTCAATGATAGATGAAGATGAGTCAAAAGTCTATTTGATATTTTATCAGCCAAGGTTCCTTTTGAGTTTGAAACTTTAGTAAGGTCTTGAAGGCGAATGGTTGGCATGCCGGCTTTTAGCAAAAGGAACTGCCCAGATGTCACGAATCATGTTGAATGGCGTTTTCCAAGTTGGGTTCGTGAGGGTTGGGGGCACGACCATAAGCTACATGGTGCCTTTTGTGGTAGAAATCCTCTTAGAGAGAAAATCCACCAGCCGGTATTATACTCTCTGGAAATGATAAATTATAACGGTTTCCCCAAATAAGCTTCGGGAGCACTGGGGTTGGACTATGCTGTGAATGGAGAACTCTCCCTTATGGGGATCATGCGGGTCACATGCTTAGACCACCCGGGCTTAGGCAACTTTGGTGGTGCATGCATCAATTGAAGGGCCAAGGTCATTCTTCTTGAGAAGACAATCAACTGACAGGCCTTAAGCTTTTCCCGCAATCTCATTCCTGGTATATAAGAGTCCCCTTCAAAAAGTCCTCATGGTCCAAGGTGCCTATCACAAACTTAATCACTGCTCCTATGCTCATATGAGCTATTGTCAGTTGGAGCTTAAGTGATATTTAGCCTGATCAGGTCCTATGTTCTGGCCAAAGTTACTCTGTGATGGCGATTAGAAGGCAGGGTTGTTTTTCAAGAAAGACAACCACCCTTATGGTGTGTCTTCTTCTGGAGGGTTTTTAGAGGGACCAAATGTTATTCTACCATCTAGCAAATAGTGTGCTTAGCAAACACTCCCCAGATAAGTCGCTGAGACATTCGAGGACTATACCTATGTTGGTTTCTTTTAGCCAAATCTAACCCTCCTTAGCTTGAATGATACAACTCCTGAATTCATTTAGCTTGGATGATGCAACTCTAATGTTGTTCTTCAGGGTGGGTAGAATTGGACCCTTATTCAGAACTTGGCATGTCTTCTCGAAAAAGAAAAAAGGTCCCACGGTGGGTGCTAAACTATTGATGCTAAATATCACACAACTAATTGGATCCAGGCTAGGATTGGTTCTGATCCGGAACGGGATCAGTCCCTATTGAGTCCTCACCGGGACGTGGTAATAGAGAGTGATGGAGGGGCCGCTTCCTTCTTCGACTTTATGCTTAGTTCTAGAATGTGGGATTGATGTCCATGCTGCACAGACAAGAAGAACCCGTGAGAGGGTGAGGACCGGTTCCCCGTGGTTCCTCCGACGGTCAAGTTAGTGAAACTCGAGTGGGGAAGAGGAAGGTCAGGAACCAATGTGGTTCTTGAAGTGGCAATGTGTCTGCCTAGAAGATCTATGTGAGCTTCTTTGTCTAGGCGAAAAATATGTATTCTTCTTCTTTCGAGGGTGGTTTTTTTAGATTGCCAACCTTTGGCTATAGCGAATAGCATCTGTATATAAAGAGGATGTCAATGACAGATTGGTCACTTCAGCCATGCAAATGGCGGGGACAAAGTGTAAGGTAGAAGATGAGTCATCCTTTGCTCTACATATGTCGGCTGGCGACTGGAGAGGAAGTCACTTCGGCATGAGAAAGGGTGTCTCCATATTTTCTAGGAAGTGATTGAGAGCGTGGCAGGAGGTACGCTGGCATACTAAATCATCCCTCACTTTACAGGTGTCGACTGACGACTAGAGGGGAAGTCACTTCGGTATGGGAGAGGGTTTTTTTCACATTTTCTGGGAAGTGATTGAGAGTGTGGCAGGAGGCACGTGAGTAACTGACAAGTCATGGAGACCATTAGGCTAAAATCTAGATAAAGCTTGTCCGAGGTGGACTGAAATGTTGACATATGCTCTAGGGGAGAGGCTTGAGGCCGAGGTTGAGTCCTCAACTTAGCCGACAACAAGGAATGTCCCTCAAGTCGTCTCAGAGAATTGCCCAGTGAGTGGTCGAGTGCCCTAAGTGGGTCGTCCTCGGCGATAGGGTCGACTGATCCCACCTTTCATGTCGTCATGAAAGAATGTCAACTTGATGAGTCGGCGGGGTTGAGGCCTTTGTTGGGCTTGGGCCACTTAAGTGGGTTTGAGGTTATTTTGCTAGGATTCTTATTGTATTATTTTATAAATACTCGTATCTTGGGTGAGTGAACACCATAACAATATCCTTAGTTTCACTTGGACTGTAGCCTTATGTGAACCCGGGGACATCACACTCAAGTAGTTGACAAGTCTACTTTAACAATCAAGGCCGACAACTCAGCCTACAGGATGAGATGACACCCCTCAGTGTCGACTCGAAAGGCAGTGTTAGTCGACACGAAAGGAGGTGCTAGTCGACCTCCTTCTATTGAAAAACTCACCGCGATTCCATTCGTCCACTTATAAGGCGGTTACAAAGTCGGCTCAAAGGGCGTTACTTCTTGCCGAAGGCAAAGAACTATTTTAGTCTCGAGCCCCTATTTTTATGATAACGTGTCAACATCGCATTTAATACAGGACATGTGCCATCATAGCTCTAACTCAAATGATCTTCATGACTCATCGAACCACGTAGGCCCTGTCATGCCGCCAATCTTTTCCCATTTAATACCAAAGTGACCTTTCCTCCACTCATTAGCTGACACCTGTAAAGCAAGTGACGATGTGGCCGCCAACCCACACTTCGCCACCGTCCTTCTGCTCTCGGTTGAAGTTACCAATCTACCCTTGCCTCCTTAGTATAAATACATGTACTATTCTAACATTTAGAGGGTTGACAAATCTGATCCTCGAAGGCACATACTGTACAATTATAAGAACACACAGTTCTTCCTTTACCCCACTCAAGTCATCAGTTAACTTTATCGTCGGAGGTACAACGGGGGAATCAAACCCCATTCTCTTACGTACTTTCTATTCGTGCAGATCTTTCAGATACCTAACTCAAAGAACTAGACATAAAGTCAGAGAAGAAAGCAGATCCTCTTCAATACTGAACAAACCAATCCTAGCCTGGATCAAACTGATTGTGTGATCATATTAACCATCAACACATACATACATATATACATACATACATACATAGATACATATATACACACACGCGCGCGCGCACACACACACATAAGTAGACTTAGAAGTATATACTTATCTACTTACAAGTGTAAGTCTAATGGATATATGCTTATATACTAATAAGTATACACAAGTATATATACTTAAGAGGTATATATATAAATATATAATACTAACGATCTAAATATATCACAAAATTAGTTTAGCTATTTGGTAGGTTTTAAAGCTCCCATAGAGATGGCCGGTACCAAATTTCAAGATCCATGTTTTCCTATACTATTATGCTAAAAATATACAGATAGACCATATCCGGGCCAGGCCGGGTCCGGGCCGGTTTCTGATGGATACCCGAAACCCGCGTTGGCCTGGTTTTTCTGGCTTTGCCTAGGGCTAGGCTAGGTTTTCGTCATGCTAAAACTGAGCCAAATTTCGGGCCGGCCAAAACCAAGTTGGGGCAGGCCCCTGGGCTTTTTGGACATCCCTATCTATGTGTTTTTTTATTGTGCAAAACCATCACGTGTAGGAGTTGTCATGATGGGGAGGTTTTAGCTTCCATGAGACAACAAGGACCTAACTTCGTTATCTCCACTTGCTGTAGAGGCTACTGTGAATGGAACGTGAATGATTTTAGCGAAAAAACTCCAGTTTTCATGGAGTGATTGTTAAAAGCGAAAACGATTTGCTGATAAAGGCTTGGAAAATGGGAAGTAGGGAGCGGACATAAGTTTTGGACATCAGAAGTCGACAAAAAACGATGTGTTTTTTTTTTAATATTATTAGTCGGTTGCATCTTCAATGATTGTATACTAGTTCCTAAAACCATGTTAGATTTGAACTTGAAGGACCATCTTGCGAAGCGCTGCGGAATTTGAGGGGCTTATATGTAATTTTTAAGATGTTAGGGACTGATGGGCATTTATTGAAGATGCGAGGGACTAAAATCTATAAATCTAAAACAAACCTAAAAAATAATTCAAAAGTATGTACGAACAATACGTCCGTAGGCGAAGCTCAAGATGGAAAGAGCGGACACGCGGGGGGGGGGGAATCGTATGAGCCGTCGGGTTTAGAAAAACGTCAGCACATTTCCTCCAGTTTTGCTTCTCTTTCTCTCTTCAGCGACCGCTTCAACCGCTCTCTCTCTCTCTCTCTCTCTTCTCTGCCAGAGCCGCGTCCCTCCTCTCTCTCTCTACCCGCCAAAAAAATTCTCATCAAAAGAAGAAAATTTCGGGATCTCTCTTCCTAGATCTCGGACTTTCTCTCTCTCTAGGGTTAGGGTTTCGCTTTCTCGATCCTCTTCTTCTCTTCTCCCTTTCTTTCTTTGATGGGGGATTCGGAGCTTTCTCTTCAATGCGGGGGTCTGCCTTCTTGTTGAAGAGGGGGGGGGGGGGGGGGGAAGCGCTCGTACGTTCCTCTGTACCTTGGTTTTTTTTATATTTTAATTTCTGAATTTGTGAGAATTTTAGTTGAGATTTGGAGATGAGCGCGTCGAGGTTCATAAAGTGTGTCACCGTCGGCGACGGGGCCGTTGGCAAGACTTGCATGCTTATTTCCTACACCAGCAACACTTTTCCCACTGTAAATTTCCTAAATCCCCCTATTGTTGTTCTTCTTCTTCTAGGGATTGCTTTGGGGTATGCGATGAATCTTGGGTAAAAGTCTGTGTTTATGTGATGAAATTGATGGGAGAATTTGGTTGGAACAAGTGAAACGTTGCTTTTTAAAAAAAAAATTCAAATTAGGATTTCTACAACTTGGCTATGCAACTTTATGAATGTTTTGGGCTTCTCTTCTTTGTAATGCATGTCAAAATTCTTTGCTCAATTAGTATTGTTATGAGTGATTTCTAAGGTTGAAGAAGTGCATTTGGAAAAGTAGCATATTCGTGGATAGAATTTTGTAGTAGCATATTCGTGGATAGAATTTTGTAATTACGTGATGAATTGATGTGGATTTTGAATGGAACATCAAATTAGGATGTGTACATCTGTGATTTGATGATTGGTTTGGGGTTTTCTTCCTCATAATATGGACTTTTTCTGATTATATATTTCTCAATTTGATATGTCCTGATTAATATCCAAGGGTTTTAATGGAATGCATTTGTGAAAGAAGGATCCTAGTGGATTAATTTATTCTTGAGAAAATGTTGTATTCTTTGTCTTGTAGCGGCATGAGGATATTGAGAGAGATGTGTAGAAGTATTGTTTACGTTCAGCAAGTTTAGTTTATCGCTCTCTAGTTATGCAAATCGGGAAATGTCTAGGGATTATTACCTTTGTATTACGTACGAAAGCTTCGGTGTAGGCTAGCTCATCCGTTTCTGCACACTAAAAGGCCCTTAGAAAGGATTGCACTTTGATAAGAATCTCTGTTTTTGTTATGAATTCATTGGTATCTCTGGAGAACGCATGTGAGAAAACTGTTTTCTATATAATCTTTCCTCATTTTCAGTTCCGAATTCTAGTGAATGTGCTGAAATTGTGTTCTTCAAATTAGGGATTATGGATCCATCTTATTTTGTATTGGTTCAGTATATATGGTTATACTATAACTGTAGCGCCCCAAAAACTTTAGTCCCACATCGGTAGGTGAATGAAGTTTTGATTGATTTATATAGTAAATCATAGGGTTCAAGTGTAGCATCGGCTAGTCGAATTTGGTAGTAGTTTGAGTCTGACAATGTGCTACACTCAATGGGTGTCATGGCTTACTTCGCACCAACGGGGTCACGGGCTTGGGGCGTGACAATAACATAGGGTGTAATGTAAGAGTTCACACCTACCAAGGAAACCATCCATATTAATCATCCAAAACATTCATTGTTATGTGTATTTTGAAATCCATGTGGATTGAAAATAACTTGGATTATGAATTCTAGCTTATACATATTATGATTAAAAAACGAATAACATTTATGCTCTTGAAAGCTGATTGCTTTCATCCGTTTGATTTGTGGGGTACAAATCTCTCTTCACATGGCTTTAATCCTCTTAAGCTTTGGGATATGTAGATCTTAATTAATAGGCTCAGCAATGTGGATGGTCCATCGATCATTTTGAAAGGCGGGCATATACTCTTATGTTATCCCCATTTGTAATATAAAATTCCCTTTATGGTGTTTTTGTACAGTTAGGGTTATCATTGCATTTTGAAAGGCAGGCATATACTCTTTAAGTTATCCCCATCTGTAATATAAATTTCCCTTTATGGTGTTTTCGTACAGTTAGGGTCATCATAGATTTTGAAAGGTGGGTTATATGTAGTTGCTGTGTGCATTGCAAACACATGCATATATAATGTGTGTCAGTAATATATATATATCTATATATATATATATATATATATATA